AGATACATATAGTGAATGTATCTTATAAATAACTTACATCTGTAAAATAACCAGTTATTTATAAGATATATTCACTTTAAATGCGTACAAATATTGGTATAAGTACACTGCTGTCACAATTCAAGTTACTGTATAACTCAATAGATCAAGCAATAACAAGATACATTGGTCTTTTATAAAGAAGTTTTATAAAGACACTAATTAACTGAACTAATGTTTATCCAACTTCCTATATTTTCATAATTGCCAACAGAAACACTTTCTTTAATGTGATGTTTGTATTTTTCTCTTTAGTTTTCTGCTGGAATTTAACCTGTACAGCTGGTGGAACGTCGACCTTTCAGTCAAAGGTAACTTTAGTTCATGAACAGGCTTGTGCACTATATGTGAGAGAGAGAGAAAGACAGAGTTCAATCTCAGAGCGAGAGCAGGAAGCTTTGTAGCTTTCTGTGGTTTTGTCACCCTACTGTGGTTCACTTACAACTTTTTTGTCACACCTTCAGCTCAGAGGTCACGGGGTAAAACTGTGATGGTTCCGTGTGATACGGTATACCCCGCTTTTGTCTCTGAACGTACCATCAAAGAAACAACAGGCAACATTGACTGTGAGGGCTGCATCAGGTACCTCTTTAGACCATCTTAAATTAACTGCTGAATCATTAAATAATCACCTCATTTCATGACAATCTTTATTCGGGTCAAATAGTAAACTTTGGTCTCTGTCTTTGTACTGCAGATCTTTTGTCATACAGCAGATTCCCAGCAGCAATCTCTTCATGGTTGTTGTGGACAATAACTGTGACTGCAGCAGTGCCCCTCCAGTGAACATGGATCCCATTGAGATCATGTATATCCTTTCTAAACACAAACCTTTATTGAAAGCACTTTCATTTTAGCATATGGCTGGTTAAATCGTAAAAAAACTTATCAGTTGCTGACTGGGAGAACAGTTGCATTTCTTCTTTAGGGTTAATTTTTGAGTTGTGTTATCCAAATGTTTCATATAAGCCTAAATGAGTCTTGAAGTAGCGTGTGTTATTTAGGGATATGTTCTCTTCGTTTGTTTTTACCCTTGACATCTTTGAACACAACGAGTCACTAAAATGTGACAGACTGAAGTTTCAGAAGGACAGAAAGAAGCCTGACTCATGCCATCCTTTCCACCCTGAGGTATGAGAACATGTCTTTGTCTGCATACTGTCCCTATGTGTGCATCTACATGCGCAGTCATATTAGCTTAATACATTACAGCTTCTGATATACACTGGATACAAGATATATGCAGTTGATATCAACTGCATACTTAAATGGTTGTGCATTTTAGTGCCGATAGAGCTCAACACTAGATTAGCAATACTAGTCTTATATATAGTATAATGAAACTGATACTGGAGTACAAGAACAAGTTTTTCTTGGCCAGTTATAGGGACTTCCTGCTGTCCCCAGTAGCTCTTTGACAACCTCATCGTGCAGGCAAAACACCATTAAGACACAAATAGAGGCACCCCACCACCACCACCTCATTTTCCATCCACTGATGTCTTTCACAGATAAAATCTTAGTACATCCACCATGTTAAGGTTTAATATCAGACCCATACACTGCTATATGCTGTATGTATTACAAATGATTGTGTCTCCTGCAGGAAAATGCCATGGAGTGTGGTTCGGCAACACGCCTCTCCAGCCCTCTAACAGTAGCTCTACTCCCTCTAATAGCAGCGAGCATCAGCAGGTGACCATGTGATGCGGAACTGGACATCAGTAAGGACTAACTCAACAAGAAGATGCTTATAATACACAGAGAACATGGCCACAATCTCAATTTGCTCATACATCTGCAACAGGCAGCACTCTACAACAACAAAAGAACGATCAGTAGCACTGAGACGCACATCCATTAATGCAGAAAATAAAACGGTATGGTGCAGCAATCAAAAATGAGAATAATGGGAGTGACTTTGCTCAGAGCATTGCAGATCACATCACTGACAGTTTGCCATATTGTCCTTAATGTGTGCTGAAATTAAATAAGAGCAAGAAATGTCTACAGTAAAAACAAATGTTTAGGAGTACAGAAAACAAATGTGTCTTTGTGCAAAAGAGTATAGAGTAAGATTTGAAATATGTTCATTTCTTTGTTGTGAGGGAGGGAAAAAATGAAGGTTAATATAAGTCTGCAGAATTTAAAATGCACTTTTGTCATTTGTGAAAAGAATTCAGAGCAGTCTCTGGCAGTAAGCTGATAAAAACCATTGACAGTGCAATCAGAGGTTCTTAAAAAATGAAATTTATTTTGTGACTGAATTCTTTTTGATGTTAAAAATCATAATGCTTATGTAAAATACCAGAAACAATGGAAAATTTGAACTTGCTTCAATCTGTCAGTTTCTCCTTGTTTTAAAGCAGAAGACACTTCAAACAAGCTAAAGATGCATGATGAAGATTCAACTGTGTGTTTAAGAATGTTCCATTGATAGAGTATATTCAGCCATAATTTGTCTGAGTGACCACATACTCATGTTTGAGAAAGCTGATGAATAAATACACAGAAATATTTTTCTTCATTTACACCTTGTGTTATTTTCTCGCGTGCACACGTGTGTTTGTGTCTTTATATGGCTGCGTGGACATAGTTGGAAACTACTGTTATGAGGATGCTATGGTCCTCATAACTTTAAAGAGCTGTTTGAGGGCTAAGGTAAGGGACTAGTGTCCTTACAACTATAGAAAGACATGTGCGGTGATGTTACGTGGGGCTTTTGCTTATGTATGAGTAAAACTAAATAGATTTCAACCTTTTCTCAACCTTGAGAAAAATAAAACGGCAAAATCAATGTGCAGGATAGAATGATGATGTTGAAATGGTACATGTGTCAGGCTGCAAAAAGAAAGAAATCGCTGGCAGCAACTACTGGTGTATATATAGCAAATAGATTTAATGTAGTTACACTGTAGTCTGTATAACAAATAATACATTTCTCTGATTAAAAGATTGGATTCAGGAGTTCATGGCTATGGTGCAACTGTCATGTTCAAATTTCAGTTAAAACAAACAGCTGCTAGGAGGAGAAGTGTACAATAGCTCTTCTCATGCAATATGTTGCTCACATGTGGGGAAAAAGTGTGAAACCCAAGTTCCTTAATTGGTGTCTGTGCAGTGTGCGAGCCACTGTCATTGTGAAACACAGATCTTGCTTCTTTGTCTGCTGTTATTTCCTGTAGTAGTTATTTTAGTACCTGCAAGCTATGTTAAGTTAATTCTGTTCAACTGAAAATATGTGAAGCAGCAACAAGTGTTTCCTGCAAACTGCGAACAGCTTTTAATAGCTGAGGCAGAATGTGTGCAGAAGATGACGGTATAGCACATCTTAACTTTGAAACTATAATAAAAAACCATTATTACAGCATGTGTTATTATATTAGCTTAATAATTATAGCCTCTGATATACACTGGATACTATATATACAGTTATCAATTGCATACTTAAAGAGTTCTTCATTTCTGCCACTCTAGTGCTGAAAGAGCTCAACATTAGATTAGCAGTACTAGTCTTATATACAGTATAGTGCTATTTGAGAGCAACAAACAGAACAGCTTGTGAAGATGTGCTTGCTATACTGTAATAAAAATGCAGTTGAGGTGACATTCCTACAAAACACTTGCTATTGCAAATGTATAGGTGTAGCTACAACTCATTAGCACTGGTCTAGATAATATTGTAAAGGCTGTCTGCTTGGTCTCTGTATAGTATTAAAAAAATTTCAATGTGCCTGCACAGTGTTATACAATGTTGATGGAGCTGGCTCCTCGGAGATGGTGGCATACACATGGCATGTGTCAGACTAGAAATGAAAGAAATCAAATGTAATATATATCCAGTAGCAAATATATTCATTACTTTGCCTCATGTCTCACTTACATCCTCATTTTGAGGCTGTTGTGTCTTCAGTCCTTGTCTGTTCAGGTTCTCACAACCTACAAATCAGAGAGAATCACATAGAAAGTTGGTAAGTTTTTCATAGATTTAGCTTTTTTTATTGCACTGTATGTATAAAAAAATAATGCAAAAATAAGATTTAAATAATTTCTGGTTTCAGAAGCATGGGTGGCCAGGAGTGTCATGGGACTAAATATGTTAAAACTATATTTGTTGCGCTCAGGAAGTGAAAAAAGCAACTCACCAGTGGTACAGTCAACACCAGCTACTGAGGTGATTACATTGTAGCCCTCATCATTATCTGCAGGAAACTTGTTTGATAAGAGAACAGATGAGGAAAGTAATTAATTCACCTTGAGGGCTCTTCAAATTCAGTTGGTGGATTACTTTACATTACGTGAATGTCATATCTGACAATAAAGTTTTTTAATTACCGATTTTCCATCATCAATATTTCTCATGTGCATATAATCATCTGCAATAGAAGGCAACACTAAGCTCAGTGTAAGAGAAGAAAATAGAAATTCAATGTGTGAATGAATTATATTGTGATGTTTCCTGACAACTCAATGTATACTTTACCAGCACCACTGGATTGTGATCTATAAGGAAATAAAGGGAAAATGTTTAAATTAGGTGTTACACATTACACAGAACGCAGCGTAGGACAATGAACATAAATCAGAGACTGTGTAGCCTCAAAGCTAAAAGTCTACAGTTTCAGACTATACTGTATCTCTAAACCTTTGCTACACTCGTGTTTTATTTAAAAAAATCTAAACACTTGCACTGCACCAATGAACATATAATGAATACACTCTCAGATTTGGAAGATGTGTAGCACTTAACATACATTGCTTTGGACACAAATGACTGCCGCTGACACACAGACACAAGAAGATGGGAACTGAATCTTGTGATTACGTGCTCTACCACTTGAGCCATAGCTGTCCTGTATAAATCACTGGTAATGGAAAAAAAATATCTCGTGACTTGGCTGTTGCTGAAAAGATTAAAAACCATTTCTTACCTCTTAAAGAAACATGCTCCTGAAAAATGACCAGAGAAAAAGACAACAGTGATCACTAAAAGGTTATTACTAGCTGTAATATCTATGACCTCTGCTCAGTGGAAACTGTATTTTTGAATACTGCAACCAAAAGAAAATGTTTCTTCTTTTGGATAATTTTACATTTACATTAAATTAACAATAACAAGATTAGGAAATTTCTTAAAGTACATTCAAGCTTTATTGGACACACAAATTGTTCTTACCACTTTTTGTGGTACAGAGAAGTGTAAGCCCCAGTAGGACAACACCGACAATGACTCCGAGACCACTCACAATTACTAGCAATTTCCATTTCCATGTTTCTGTTTTAAAACAACAAATTTCATTCTCAGTTCCTGGCTCATCATTTCTAAAACTTCAGAACAAAATGTTACTTTTCTACTAATGTACCGGTACTGCTCACTTTTTTGTTCTTCTTTCACAGGAAACAAACTAGTTTTAGTGCGAGGCTCATGTGCAGTCACACCTAATAAATAAAAACACCCAAAACATTAAAAACATTCCCAGAGGTGCACCCTGGGATTTTTGATTCACTACAAAGAATCTCACCTGTAACGTTATCTCCTGATACCACAGTCGTAGTTTTGTTAACAGTTATCAAAGTTCCTGTAGTCCCTGTCACTTTAATAGTCACTTCAGTAACCGTTTCTTGAAGACACAAAGGGTAAGATATTAAAAAGTATAAATCAAAAAAGCACTTTTTTAGGTTGTTAAAACATACTCATGAAACAAAGTCACTGGGTCACCTGATTCTGGTTTCACTGGTGTTAGGGAAGTAGAGATTGAACTACTGGTTGTACTCGCCACACCGACAGTCTGACCTGATGAAACTAGTAAATACAATAACTACTACATGATAATGTTCTGGATTGTTGTTTCAAAGTAAAGTGTGTCCTACCTGTGGTTGCACTGAATGTCGTCGCTCTCTGTGTCATGCTTGATTCTATTTCCACAGTATAAACGATATAAAAAGTTGGAAATGTCAGTTGTATTTGAGCAGCGTCACTATAATATCTGTGCAACTTGTGTGATTTGTGCAATCACTTAAACAATTATTTCCACAAGAGCAGAATTCATGCGCAGTATAGTGCAACACAGTCACCAGCTTTTACATTCATGAATAAGGATAAACTTCATTGCCATTTGCCCAGGGGTAAGGTAAATCTTAGTTTAAAAATTCAACATAACAGTTCAGTGCATCATCTGTGCTCTGTGCATAACATATAAATAAATGTATTAATATATATATTTATAGTATATATACAGTATTGGGAAAGCAGAATTGATCAACTTTGTCAAAATCTGTATCACCTTCTACCACAAATAATATTTTTAAAACAATGTTAAACCTGCTCTTCTTGTGTTTGGTTTGCAATGCCAAAAACTATATTAACATCTGAAATATTGCATGGTGGGATACAACAATATTTGGGAATAGCATTCACTCACTTTGCATAGTGATGAAGGATGCATCACTGTGTGGGGATAGAGAATTTAACTCTCCAGGCTTTAGACTGCAATAACATCTCACTTCAAACTCAGCAGGTGAACTCTAATGTGTCTTATTCAGCGGAATACCAGGGTGTTTATTTGTGCTTCTACTGTACTGTATCTAAACAACAAAGTATGATGGTTACTTACTTTGTAAGCTGATGTGGGCTATGTTACTGAGACGAGATTGATGTTGTCCTCCTTTGGACACTGTTGTGTAATAACATGACACTTCAACCACAGCAGGTGAACTGTAAAGAGCCGCCATCCTCAGCAGCTCAGTCCCTGTCAGTGTCTGCAGACAGAGGACGGCTTTGGCAGTTTCTTCTTTTATAATGTAGAGGTAACACTGGGTCACAGAAACAGATGATGGAGTCTGACAGTTCAGTGTGACTGACTCAGTTTCTGTGATCAGTGGGGGATTCACTGTCAGTTTAGGCCGAGGAACTGAAAATGTAAACATACATAGGATTAGATAACATGTTACGTTTGAAGACCTGACCCCCATGTTGAGAGTCCCTTTGTTGTTTGTACGGATACTACAGTTATCTTAATAGTAGTCCATAGCAGTAGTATTTGCTCACTTTGTATAGTGATGGAGGACGTGTTACTCTCTGGAGACTGATACATATCGAGGTAAAAACACGTCACTTCAACCACAGCAGGTGAACTCTGATATGCCAACAAGAGCAGCTCAGTCCCTGTCAGTGTCTTCACACAAGAGAAGCTTTTGGCAGGTTTGTCTTTCACAGTGCGGAAAAAACACTGAGTGACAGGAACAGATGATGGAGTCTGACAGTTTAGTGTGACTGTGTCCGTCTCCGTGATCAGTGGTGGATCCACTGTCAGTTTAGGTGGAAGAAGAGCTGAAAATTGTTAATATATTTTGGATTAAATAACAAAAATATACATGTATTTAAAACATTTTCTTACTGAGCAAAGTATAATGATGAGGCAGCGTAACTACTCACAGTTTATGCTGATGGAGGATTTGTCACTGTGTGGAGATGGAGAATTTCCCTCTCCAATGTAGTAACATTGTACTTGAACCTGAGTAGGTGACCTCTGCTGTGTCACGTCCAGCAGCTCAGTTCCTGTCAGTGTTTGCACACAGGACACGGCACTAAGACTTTGTCCT